CTGTGGTATTGCGAAAGCTATACAAAAGACTAGTATCAAATCATGGATGCAAACCAAATCTCAAGAATGGTTGAACAACTCGCCAGGAATGAGACAGGCAAAAGAGTTTATTAAAAAACCATCGCCAACATTCACAGGATATCTAATAAGCCAGAAACGAAGTTCAACTAGAATACTAGTGGGACTTCTCACAGGGCATTGTAGGCTCAACAAACACAATATGAGTACGATAGGTCTGACTGAAGAACTGCTGTGCAGGTTCTGTCAAGAAGAGGAAGAAACAGCAGTAAACATACTTTGCCACTGTGAGGGCTTGTCAAGATTAAGGTTCCTTACGCTGGGTGAGGAAAAACCAGGAGCCCAGAGATACACAGGAGATCTGAAAGCTAGCCTATGGAGTCTCATAGAGAAGGCGGGGCTAGCCGAAGAACTCTAATCGATTTTGAGGGCAGACACAATAGATCTGAAAAGGTCGCAGTGTGGAGGCAAATAGACTGAAAGACTGAAGGCCCCATCCCAAATCTAATCTAATCTAATCCCAATTACAATCATTTTGAAATTTTGGGGCTTTATCAGTCTCCAATGATTTTGGCACCATCAAAGCTTATACAGTGGGGTTCGAAATAAAAACAATTAATACTTCCAACTTCAACATCCTGTATCTCAAATACGGAGCTAGTTAGGACACATGTTTATATGAACTTGATTTGCTAGAATATAACAAGGAATCACCCCTTGAAGTTTTTTGGCGTTATTTAGATACACCTTGTATACAGTGTCCTCCCATCATTCCTCTCTGCACAAAATTTTACTGAAATGGAAGGCATTTTGTACCTATTCCTGACACTCTTATACACTTTTCTCAATAGGATTTTTGTATTCTCTGTAGATATTTTCGTTCTTACTTTCAAACTTCCGTACCTATACATGTACCGAGGCATGAACTTATTCAACATGATATTGCCCGTATGTACTGATAAATGAAAACAGAAGAAGGCATATATGTGGGCACAATTTACAACAGTATAATAATATTGATTATTAATGAAGTACTAAACAGCTCTGAATAAATTATAACTGTGAAGGAAGTTTATTTCGAGGTTTATTTCCTTACAGAATTTTAATGGTAATTTTGCCCTTATCAAGCGTTGGGTTTTTTTCCGAAAAGGTTTACTTACGTATTTTTGTCTGAAAAACACGAATTTGATAATGAAAATGTGAACAAACCATTATAAATGCAAACTTCGAGACCCCAGCGAAGGATCATTGCTGAACAATGTCCACTAGAGAACATTATAAATTTTGACAAAAATGGGAAAATATGTCTGTCTCGTACGCCTAAGAGAGGGCCACTAAATTCCAAATATCAATCAATCAAAAGTAAAGTGATGTGGCCGTAAGCCAAAACACGTGTTGTAATTGCTTAAGTATATACCTGATTTTGTCTATATATCCCCGATATTGTCTACAGTGTGTCCCACTTACCATGCTCACCATGGGTATCTTTTTAACGCTGAGAGATACGAGGTCGGTTAAATGACACCAAATGTGGAGTTTGTCAAGGCCAACTATAATGTGAAAAAATATTTTGATAAAATCTATTCGTTTTTGTTTTATACGCAAAAAACAGATTTTGATAATTTTCATGTCTCCTCCGTAACTTCTTTATTTATGAAAATATCCAAATAGGAATTTCACATTCTCGTGGCAGTTTATCAAAGTGATTTCTAAAAAAATATGGAATTCATACCAACTCTTCTAGAATTTGAGATATCAGCACCAACTTTAGTTTTTCAAATGTAGGTCATAGCGCACTATGACTTAGTTACAAATAACTTTTTTTTCTCTTACAGATGATACGTCGCAGTAATAGTTTTGTGTTGATAACAACGGAGTTATCGTCATTTATACAAGAACAAAAAATTATTTGGAAGCCGCCATCTTGAATTTATGAATTTTAACAAAAAAATCATGATCTTCGACCTCAAAAACCCCCACTTACCAATTTTGGATGGAATCGGACCAAATCTTGTCCGCCATCTTGGAGCAGCCATATTTTTTAATTCAACAAAAATTCCATAATGTATTGCCACCAAAATTATGAGCACCTGCCAAATTTCAAGTGAATCGGAGTTATGGAATTTTTGTTGAAATTAAAAAAAATGGCTGCTCCAAGATGGCGGACAAGATTTGGTCCGATCCCATTCAAAATTGATCAGTGGGGGTTTTTGAGGTCGGAGATCATGATTTTTTGTTAAAATTTAAAAATTCAAGATGGCGGCTACCAAATAATTTTTTGTTTTTGTATAAATGAGGATAACTCCGTTGTTAATCAACACAAAACTATTACTGCGACATATCATCTGTAAGAGAAAAAAAGTTATTTTTAACTAACTCATAGTGAGCTATGACCTACATTCGAAAAACTGAAGTTGGTGCTGATATCTCAAATTCTAGAAGAGTTGGTATAAATTTCATATTTTTTTCGAAATCACTTTGAAAAACTGCCATGAGAATGTGAAATTTCTATTTGAATATTCTCATAAATAAAGAAGTTACAGAGGAGACATGAAAATGATCAAAATCTGTTATTTGCGTATAAAACAAAAACGAATAGTTTTTATCGAAATATTTTTTCACATTATAGTTGGCCTTGACAAACTCCACATTTGGTGTCATTTAACCGACCTCGTATCTCTCACCGTTAAAAAGATACCCATGGTGAGCATGGTAAGTGGGACACACTGTATAGTTACTCGAATATGTCGATATACCCACCCACTCGAATTTTTGTGCACGTCGTACTATATTTTTTGTTATTTTTTTGAAACCCATACTGTCAATTATTACTCATAACATAATATTACCAGTGTATTATTACACATTGTTTTGTTAAGCAACAACTGAATCACGAACAAGCATTATTTTGCTTCTGTGATATACATGTTTATTTACTATTAATTATTACTATTAATTTATACTTATTTACTTTGTGAATAAACTCTATTATTATTATTATTATCATTATTATTATTATCCAGAGTTTGATCATTTTGATATGTCATCACTTTTTGATTCATGAGATTATACGATTAGCATTGGCAACAAAAATATCAATCAAACTATTTTCACTCCATGAACTTCATACTTGTGCTAAAGATAGACATTTCTGAGTACAAATTAAAAGTGTGGAAATGACTTTGATCTTTCCTTCTTCTCATTGAGAGAATCCACTTCACTTTGAGCAAACATGACCCCGGTAGTTACTTACCTTACTTGGGCAATTAAATGTAGGTCAATTTAGGTGCTAATGAAACGTCCTCATTGAAAAGTTCATGGGAATCTTATTGTTTGTGAATTGTTTTCAATTACTATGGATTCCTATAAAATACTGACAGGATCAATTGAAAAAGTAATATTATTTATTTGCAGAGATAATACTTATTACACTTTACACAAGATAGGTAGTTCTTATCTTGGAATTCTTGGAGCTAGATATCCAATGTATGCTGTAGTTTAACATCATGTGTATTATTAGCTATTTATTTGTAAGACATGATTACACAATTATTGTTGTTATTATTATTTAAGGATTTGTTTCAAGCATTATAAAACAACGAGTAAAACAAGCTCACATATCTCAAAATAGAATGCATCTAATTCCAAACAGGATATTATATTATTTGATTCAAAATGCAAGCAGCAAACTGCTGCATTCCTTCAGAGGAAGTGTCTATTTATTTTGGATTGAGAGAGACTAATTAAGTATGCACTCTGTTTGTACTTTGTAATGTGAAATCCATATGTCATGAATTTTAATTGACACAAATGAGGATGTTCAATCATTGTACAAAGAATTTTTTTTTCTGCAAGTATTCAGAATGAATCAATTTCTGACCATTCTGAATTTTTATTATCAAACCAGTGAAAAAAATAATGATTGATACTTCAAAATATAAGGTAGATATTGATCAAGGCCACCCTCCAGGCAATCTCAGAGGTTTGGTAATATATGAAATTGCTTGCCTTGAAATGGGCATGTTTTCTGAGGTAGAAATGTATTTTGAAAGTTTGACATGAGAGCCACAAGTAAAAGTAGATAATATTTCAACTAAAAAATGCTATTTTTACTGGGCATGTCAATCATCACAATTTTCTCCTGTTTTCATAATTGGAAATCTCAATTCAGGTTGATGTTTCTGCTGAAAATTATTTTTAACCAGTTAAGCCTAATTTGAGTTTATCTCACTGTGTTGCATAGATCTTGATATCAAGAAAATGACTAGGTAAGTAAGTAATAACTGACTAGAAATGTTTCAAACCTCATCTGGCTATTCTGAGAAATCTAAACTCCAAATTGGATGTGAATGAAAAGGAACTTCTATTATATTATCCTTGATATTATCTCTGAGATTATCTCTTGAGAAAAAGTTACATTAACATCAAAAGGTAAAGTGAACTCCTAAAATTTTGAGGTAATACCTATCTCTGGTAATATACCTTTAGAACTGTTCAATTCAAAATCAATCTCTCTACACCTAGCTCTACACTCACATATGTTGCATGTTGTAATATAAAGTTGTGACTTGTGAATAGGTACCTACTACTCAATTAATTGAATTCAATCATTTAAACATCTGCCTTCCCATTAGCATAAGAAAGACCTATTTTGACTCAATATGAATTCCAGTGGGAATTTATTAGGATGTATTTGAATAGCAGTAGTTGAATTAGCTGTTTTGGAATTTGGTTGGAATTGATATCCTCAGGAGCTCATGGTGAGAATGAAGTGCCTGAAATCTGAGATGTTTCCAATGGAAAAATCTCCGGAAAAATATTCGTCCATTTACTATTTTAATAATACCACAGTGTGGAGCAGGTATGGGTGCAGATCGAGGTGCAACTGATGCAGTTGTAGTTCCGAACTGCCTTGAATATCAATGAATTGAGCTGAGAGCTGAGTCCCAATACAACACCCCAACCCTTTAGTAAGTACTCACCTGCAAATGGATAGGCACTTTCTTCACAGGGTTACTCATGTTTCCAAGCATTAGACCTCGGACAACGTATTTATTGATTCACCAGCTCTACTAACAAATACACCTTACAGTACAACTAATGATATTAATAATTATTATAAATAACTTCTTTGAATATTATGGTTCAAGTTCGGCTTTTCGAGTCTTCAAATCGACTTCGACTCTCTTCTCTTCTCTCTCAAGGACCAACCCTTAGACAAAAATGTCACTGTCAAACATAAATGACAGCCAAATCCGTTACACAACACAGAACTGAGATTTGCAGTGACTATCCACACTGTTTCCGTGAAGATAACGAACTACCTTTGTGCTTTGGCTACTGAACTATAAATAGTACAGTGGCTTTCATGAAATCGATCGAATTTAATCGCCTAGGTGTAGTCGATTATTGTTTTGAGTCTGAATATGTTCTCATCAAAATTCTCAAAATGACGAATGTCGTGCATGTCCCCGTGAAAGAGTTCAAATATTCTCAGAATGTTCTCACAAAAAAAGAAGAAGAATTTTGAAATTCCGAGTTATATAACTCGGGTGTAGGGTAGGAAGTAAGTAATTGGAGGAAATAGCGGTAAATTTTAATTCACGAAACCCCATTGCTACCGGAGATGAGCATGACAAGTTTCATCAAAATCGGCGAAAAGAATTTGGAATAATCAATTAAAAATCGATCCTTTTCTGAAAAATTCGACTCCCTGTATATCAAACCCTAAGCAAGTTAGGACGCATATGTTCATGGAAAACAAGAATGTTTTTCGCTCTCTCTCTCTCTCTCTCTCTTATAGTATCTGAATAATAAATTCTATATATGAACATGCCTGGTCTAGAATATTCGAAAAAAACATATTCTATACGAGCATACCTGAAAAAATATAGAATATAATGGAATATTCTAGAAACCTTCCTAGGATATTCGAGAAATGTTCTATGAACATTCTCGTAAAACATTCTATGGACATTCAGAACATCCTCGTCCTATTCCATGATCGTTCTTCAGAATATTCTGAAGGAGGTATGTTGTGAACGTTGTGAGAACATTCATAGAATATTCTCTACTGCCCTTATTGATTCAATGCTGATGTGAAAGTCATTAACGAATTATTACAAAATGTGTCTCAGAGGATTACTTCCCAGCCAAGACATCTGACTTGACATCTCTGACATGTCGCGTTCAGGTGAAAGTGCGATATCGCAAACTTTCCATCGCTTCGATGTTCATACGCAAACACATCTGTGACCAGACATCTTTGAGATGTCGCGATGAGGCAGCACTACTATTACGAATGTTCTATCATTGCGATATAGGTATAAAGCAAATACATCTGCGAAATGACATCTCTGAAATTTGATATTTAGATTCTTGTTGGGTGAAAAAAAATACATGAATATACGTTACGATTACATCTCGCCGATATACAAACTATATGATGAAGTACATAATTTTTTACACAAAAACGACTAGTTGATCTCATCCTAATGAAGATATACGTAGGTTCTTAGGATAGATCCGCTGAAAAGACAATTGAATGGACAATATACCCCGAGGGACCACCAACCAGTTACATCAATGCATAAGCAATATTATAAGATGTCATCAGTGGTCCGAGGGACCACCAACCAGTTACAACTACAACCTAGGATTATTTAACTCTCAACAGTTAATAATCCTTGAGTTACCACAATGCATAAGCAATATTATAAGATGTCATCAGAGGTCAATATGGTTTATTATCACACAATTTCGGAGAAAAACACATCGCTTTTCCATCACAAATAATATATCGCAATTAAATTTACATAAAATATATTGCTTTTGTATCGCAAAGAGCTAATCGCAACAACATCGTATCTATATGAAACTAGAGTGGGTAAAAATAACATCCCCCTGACGTTGCAGCGACGTCTATGCGACATAGAATGCTATTTCGCAGCTCACAATTGTTACATCGCTGCGATATCTCTGTGATGTAACTGCATGTGTTTGATGGGTCACGTATTTTTCAGGAGGTGATACTAAAATTATTCCTACAAGAGCGACGGTTTATTACACCGAAGTAATGCCACGTATCAAATTTCATGATTCTAACGTTGATAGTCATGCATTTTAGTCGCGGGCATTTTAAGTCCAGACTTTGAAGGCTGTTGTCGTTAGAAACCAGTTCACTCTCAATGACATATATATATACATTGCTACTTTTATGTTCAGCATGATTATTCAAAAACATATGGAAAATTAATTAGGGATTCTGATTTTACTTCATAGTTTATTCAATTGTATAAAAAATAAGTTACAATGAACTAATAAATAATATAAAAATATCACCCGACTGAAAAAGAAAATAAAATTGATTTCACTCTTTTTCTAAATAAAGCTATCGTAATTCTCTGCTACCGTTTTTTTTGTTGCCCTCCAATATTATTCCTTCAGTATCAAAAACGTCCCTATCTGGAAGTTCCAACTTATCGTTTCTGTCCCTAGGCTTCTGATTTTCATTTTCCTTGGAAAGCTCTCGAGTCGCCATCGATGTTTTTCCTCTCCTTTTTTCTTTCATTCGTCCACTTTTCGACAATGAGAATCGTCTGTTCATAAAAGGATTACCAATATCGTCCTCCTGTTGATGTCGATTAACGTTTTTCACTTCTTTATCCTTGTTTGTTTGTTCACCACTCGTGTTGACTTTCGATTTTTTATTATTATTGCCGCTGCCAAAGATATTCGAAACAAAGTTAAACATTTTTGTTTTCTCACAATCTCTATTTTGATTGAGATTGAAAGATTCAATTGTGAACCTGCTGATGCTCGTCAGACTGATGGTGTTTGAATTTGAATGCTAAATTCCGATTCAACAATAATCTAGATATAATTATCAGCATCTCTGATAACAACTTTATATGTACATATATGTTGAAGATAAGATGTGATTTAAGTACCTACAGGCACAAATCAAATAAATACTCATTTCGTATTCATATCACTATTTAATCTCAGTGCCAATGCATGCACACTTATATATATTTCAAAGATTAATAAGATCGATTACCTATACATTGAAGGATGATTTCAAGAAATCGATCATTGATCATCTACACATTGATTGATGAAAGAATATTCTTATTTCAAGGCCCTTTATAGAGAATATGAAATCAGTATGATTTTCAAATGACTCTAGGTTTGATGGGTTGTTGATTGTTTTTCTTATTCAGCATTTATTATCTAAATTCGTGCTTTCATTTATTCTTGTCATATACCGCTTCCAAAACCACCTAAAAAATAGCGATTCATATTATAAGATTCGACTTTATGACGGTTCGTTCTGATTTTTAGAGCCCGTAGAATTATTTCAATATGAAATATGGCGACTTCCGATGATGATTGTTGTCTCTCAATGCCCGATTTCGTGAAGGGCTCGCCTACTAACAAAATGTAATTATTCAGTTGCTACACCGAGAGATATCAGATCCTCAAAATATTGATCATCGTTGTCGTGGAAACATCGGATGATCAAGATACAAACAAATGAATAAAACGAAAAAATAATCTTCATTTGTAAATCTGACGATTTTGATTGATGACAAAATGAGCAGAGGGTAAGTTCTGAGATGAGAAATTGTTTTGTATCAGGTATTTAATTCCATTACTATACGATAATACTTATCATTATGGTATTGGAACAATATATAGTCTGCTATATACATGTATGTTTGTGTGGTTTGTACCACCGTATTTTGTGAATACCAATAGAGAGAAGTTGGATAGGATAAGATATACCTAGTCAAGAATTTTTCTGTATTCTCAACACAACAACAAAAATTTACAGGAATCTAGGCATTTCAAGATGGCTCGATGCATATTCAGAACAAAATCCCGGGCTCACAACTTTACCTGGAAACGTAGTTCTCTCGGATATAAATGGCGATGGAAATTATTGTTTGGTCATCACAGATATCAAATTCGGTGATACCAAACGTAGTAAAATGAAAGTTTATAAAGGAACAACGATAACTGATATAACCTTGCCAGATTTACCAAATTCTTTGGTAACATTTTACACCGATCAACTGGAGCCAAGAATACCAGGTAGGGTATTCTTTCTCCAAATCATCATTGAGCCTAAATCCTTAAAAATCCAGCTGTACCTTTAACTTTTCAAATTTTAATGATTCTATTTTATTCTTATTGTTTTTAGCTGTAGCAGTCGCATGTGGCTCAAGTTTGTTCATCCACAAGAATAATAAGCCATATTTCAAATTTCAATTGCCATATTCACCAGTTTCGGCATCAGAAGCTGAATGTTGGGCGCCAGTTTTGGAAAGTGATGATATTTCAGAGGAACTTATAGAGAAGTTAAAAAAAGATCTTTCGGCTATTCAATATGATAAGCTGAGCAATAGGTAGAAGTATAAACTATATACACAGTTTATAAAAAAGTAATCTCCACTCACGTGCTTGGTTGACACCTATTATTTTTCAGGTCACAAGAATTATTGACCGTATCTGAAAAGGCAAAAATTGAAAAAATAGTGCGTAGTTATAATACAAAAGATATTATTAAAGAATCTCCAATCACATGCATGACCACTTTGAAGAAGAAGTCGGATGACAAATTCGAAGTATCTTGTCCTGTTTTAGCAACTGAGTCTGGAAATATATATATCCTAGATCCACAATCATTCACCATCCTACATCAGGTAGGATGAAATGAAAATAATGTTTCTATTGTTTCTTCGTAATTATTATTAATATGCACATGAAGTCAATGTGAGAAAATTCGGCGGAAGGACGGAAGTATAATGATCAATTTCGTATCTATATTTTCAGGCAAATGCCTGCAGAATGAAAGTGACTCCATTCATGATGAGAGCCACAGGAGTACTTAGCCTTGAATTTCGAATTTTGGTGGCTTGTAGAGAAGGTTATATATGCGTCTTACAAAGAGGCTGGCTGGAGGGAAAATTCATTATTCAAATGACTCATAATATTGCCGATTTCGTTGTTATCCCAGATGACAATTTAATAATCGTGGCTACAACGGATAAAATACTGAACTGCTTCTCGAAACGTGTGAGTCAAATTTCAAATCTAAGAAGTAAAGTAATAACCCTTTGGAATTGAAATAAATGAAAACGTAATGATTCCAAAATGTTTCTCTTCTGTTTCATAGGGTCATAAACTATGGTCACTGGTGATGTCGAATGAAATTATTTGCTTATGTTTAGTACCTCTTCCGCATATACGAATGAATGTTATAGCCGTTGGTCTAAAAAATGGAGCTATTCATCTATACCAGGGAAGAAAATGCGTTGATCAAATCAATGTACCTGACGCTCCCTCAGTTATTACATTTGGTCAACTTGGACAAGAAGAGCATGTACTTGTTATCATCACTATAGGTGAGAAAAAGTTTCATTAATTTTCAACTGGGATAAACGAACAAAACGATGCTATATTGATCATTATACCATATTATTTTTCAATTTATCGTCGATGTTGAGAAAAGGGTATTTTCCATCAGAACATATTTTTTGGGATAATTTGTTAATTTAGCTATTTTAAGGAAAGAGTACTATTTTTAATAGGCAGCAGAATTTGAAAATCGATTTATCTCGAAAATGCTGAATGCTATCGAATGTAAACAAGAGTACAATTTTAAGTAAAAATGTTGAGGTTTCCATACTTTTTGGTGAAACTGCTCAAAATTGCATAAACAAATAAGTTGTGAGGAAAAGTGCCCCTAGCCCCATCTATTTCGGAAAATTCCTGGCATGTCCAAATCGAGCGTGAAGTAAGTACATGTATAAAGTTTGATTATTTTACCACAGAGGGTTTCAAAAATATTTACAAAAAATCATCATCTCCGGCCCACCTATAAACCCCCAGGGGGCCATTTCTACGCCCATGTTTATGGAAACTTTTTTTACTATTTTTGTTCCTAAAATCTGTGGTTGGAATCTTTCTATGTAATTTTGGGACACCCTGTATATCGTTCTGTACTCTCTTCAGCACCAATAAATAAACGTTTTTTCTATAATGACAACACCTTTTCACTCGGAATTTCCGTTAATCTTAAAAGAAAATAATACCAGGAATCAGATCCATCGATTCTACTAAAGATACGACAGTCGTTAATCTATGCACGGCCATTTATTTTTCACAGTGTTCCGTGAGTGGTGACTGGTGAGTCAGGTGAGAGTTTTGACTGGCTGACTGCTGGTGAGTTTTACTTTCGTGACGTTCTGAGATGGGAACATAATAAAAAATAAACAAAAACAATGATAAGTAATTAAGAAAAAATATAAACAGAAGTATCGAATACTCGAATAGTATATCATATAATTTCAACTCGATAAATGGAACATTGAAAATGAAAATGTTTTCCATTGTAGCAATTTATTTTTCGGATTCATAACTTTGAATACAATCTCAACTGAATTCCATTTGGGAATTTATATTGTGATCGAATTAATCAGAGGTGGTGTGAATAAGCTGGAACTATAATATGGATATGAATCAAGAAGTTTTGGAGAGGCATGGTAGCTGCTTACTGCTACGGTCTGCCAGTCAAAATTCTCTGGATGAAAGTTCCCAAAAACACATTTCACAAATACATCCCCACAGCAAGGAACGACCGCCTTACAAAAACCACCTACACACCCAAAAGGCTTTTGATGTTATGAATGTTATGCGAAAGCAAAAGTTACTTTGTGATGTAATTCTAGTAGCAAATACAGTGGAGATCCCTGCCCACAAAATGGTGCTAGCTGCATGTTCTCCATATTTCTATGCAATGTTCTCCAGCTTTGAAGAAAGCAGACAGGATAGAATAGTCCTGCAGGAAGTAGATCACCAAGCTCTAATGTTGCTCATAGAATATGTGTACACATCTGAAGTACATGTTACTGAAGAAAATGTTCAAGTATTGTTACCTGCAGCTAATTTATTACAACTCACTGATGTGAGAGATGCTTGTTGTGACTTTCTACAGACTCAGTTACACCCAACAAATTGTTTGGGAATCAGAGCTTTTGCAGACTTGCATGGGTGCTTAGAACTTCTGTCTCATGCAGAATCTTATATTGAGCTTCATTTTCCTGAAGTAGTGGAATGTGAAGAATTCTTGACCCTGTCCCATCAGCAAGTCTCCAAACTGATTTGCAGTGATAGACTAACAGTCCCTTCAGAAGAAAAGGTGTTTGAGTGTGTTATTGCTTGGGTTCAGCATGATTTGGAACTACGCCACAAAAACCTGTCTTCTCTCATGGAACATGTTAGATTACCACTGATGTCACAAGATTACCTTGTGCAGCGTGTTGAAGAAGAACCCCTGTTGAAGGCAGACCTCCAATGCAAAGATTATCTCATAGAAGCCCTCAAGTATCACCTGCTGAAAGGTGATACAAAGACTTCTTTTAGGACTCCAAGAACAAAACCTAGACAACCTGTAGGTTTGCCTAAGGTCCTACTTGTAGTTGGAGGCCAAGCTCCCAAAGCTATAAGGAGTGTAGAAACTTATGATTTCAAAGAAGAAAGGTGGTACCAATTGGCAGAGATGCCAACTAGAAGGTGTAGGGCTGGTCTTGCTGTTCTAGGTGGTAAGGTGTATGCTGTTGGAGGATTTAATGGATCTCTTAGAGTTAAAACTGTTGACATTTATGATGCTGCATTGGATATCTGGAATAGTGGGGAAACTATGGAAGCCAGAAGATCTACTTTGGGTGTGGCAGTACTGAATAATTGTATTTATGCTGTTGGTGGATTTGATGGGTCTACAGGACTCAATTCAGCTGAAATGTATGATATGACAACAGGTAAGTGAGAAGCAGATATACATATAGGTGTCCTGAAACAACCTGTGAACTTTCCTTGGAACTTTCATGATAACTAGATACATCAAATCACATATTTTATTATCAAGAGTTAGACATTTTGTATTGTGAAGTTTGCTACAAAGATGTCAAATGTCAAAGGTGGATAAAATCAGCACTACCTCCCTTTTTCAATTTAATTATAATTGACACATACAAAAGACAATGACAATTATTTGACAAATGACATTCAATTTAACCTCAAATTTAACAGTAACTGTAGCCCAATGTAGCCAAAAAATGGTACAAAATGGCGGATTGACACCATGTTGGAAGACATATTTTGATGAAAATTAAGATTACATTTGTAGAAATTCACTATAAGGGCATCACCACACCTTTTTGTTGTGATTGAATATTTTAATTAAATTTTCTAGGATCTAACAGATACTTGAATTGACAAACTTTGAAACAAATGAATATTTGAAGAAATATCCAGTCCTTCAAGTTGATTGGGGTAGGGAAAGTTCATTTATGTATAGCTTTTACAAAGTTGGGACACTTCTGTTTTTGAATATGATATCAGTATTCTTCAATTACCCCCTTTAAGCTAGCAGAACCACCTCAAATTTTAATTTTTAAGACTAATTTATTACCCTATCACTGAATTTATTGCTCTTTGATTTATGCAAAAAAACGTGGGTTCTTTGTGAATAAAAGTTCAATCACAAAACAAATTATACCATAAGACTAATTTTAGGCTCTAATCCTAGCCTATTACCTAAGATCCAGCATTTCAATGTTTTATTCTGATCACCTCTCATGTGCCAAAATGGAGATATAGGTAATCACAACCGTTTCCCTATGAAAAATCTAGGTATCTTTTTAAAAAGCTTCCATTCCTGCTACCAAAACAAAATATTCTCCACTGCTGTTGGCAGCAGATCCTCAAAAGATTTGTCTTTGCATGCCTGGATAAACTATTTTGGTGTCTCAATTTACTTTGCAAAGACTATACACATTGTTGTTCATAGTTTGATAAGGATATCCAAATTTAATATGAGGCCCTGGATGCTGATTTTGGAAAGTTTTTAAAAAATCTTCGGGGAGAAACGAGGGGCATTTTGCTTAGTGAAGTTGTGGACACTGATTCCTCAATGTCAAAATGATGCCTCATAATTCAATATATTGACTATTAATACCTTGTAATTCCTCATGCTGCCTCACAATTCTTTTTAATTCCTCACAATTCCTTGTAATACCTCTCAATTTCTTGGCAATTCCTCGCAATTCTTGGGCTTTTCCTCCCTCACAATACCTGGATATTCCTCATATTTTTTTGGGATACTTGTTGATATTTAAACAATTCCTTCCTTCCTAAATATGCATGATATTCTTCAAATATCATAGGGATTCCCTTTCGTGCGCTCCAAGAGATCAAAAAATAAAAGAATGTTGTTCATATCCTAATCTGAACTTAGAATACAGTGTGTATATTTATACTGAAATGCCAAAATTCCTCGCAATTTCACACCATACCTCACAATTCCTCATACTTTCTTGTAATGCCTGTCTATGCCTCGCAATTCCTCTGCAATTCCTCGTAATTCCACATGTACACCAAAATTTGCAAAATGCCCCTCGGGGAGAAATTTATTGAAAATTATGATGCATATCAAAGCAGGAAATTTTAAATTCAAATTCCACCCTGAGAGGTTCTACCAGTCTCCCCCTCTTAGGCAAATGGCGCACTATCTGCCCGATGTCGACGCGCCGCAGCAGCGTTGGCGTCGGTGTCCTCGGCGGCCAGCTGTACGCCGTTGGCGGGTACGACGGCGCCTCCAGGCAGTGCCTCGGCAGCGTCGAGTGCTATCTGCCCGAGACGGACGCCTGGACGTCGGTACCGGACATGGGGGCGAGACGAAGCGGCGCCGGCGTCGGGGTGCTAGACGGCGTTCTGTACGCCGTCGGGGGACACGACGGACCGCAGGTTCGGAAGGTAAAAATCATAAAAAAATATTCGCTAGTAATCAACAATCGGAAACGCCTAACACTGAAAAATGAATATAATCGCGAATGGTGGGGATAACTCTGCGGAATCATCGGAAAGATAAAACCTCAGACTAAATAACAATAGATAGACACCGTGACCCATTCATAAATCATCAAGAATGTGATCGCGAATGATGGGTATCTCTGTGGAATCATTGGAAAGATACAACCTCAGACCATATAATAATAGATGGACACCGCGATTCATGCATAAATGATTGAAAAGTATACGTACGACGAGAATCCTAAACTAATGAAACCGCGAATGGTGGGGATAGCACTGTGGAATCATTGCAAGAGTACCAAAACGTATAGCACGAGCGTTGTTATGAAGTTGTTATTACTCGACAACTTTATTGAAGCTTTCATGCCTATAACAAGCGTGCTTCCCTTTCCATCTTCCTGGAAGTGTCACAAAAAAGGTTGTAGTAATATAATATTGACAACCGTCAACACTGTCATTCTTCACTTTTCATGATGGTACGTTTACATCGCTAAAGGTGCAAGAAGACGTGGCGCTCCAGGTACTGCGACAT